CAGATTTTTCTGAAAATGTCATATAAACAATTTGTTAACATCCCCAAACAAAACGAACATTATAGCATTTGAAAACACTGAATTATTGCTATCTTTTTTTTAGATTAATGCATATTTAGAATTATTTAGTCTTTTATATATTCTACGGACAAATTTTACACTGAATCTATCTAGGTAATTTGTTTTACTTAAATCTTTTATCAAAAAAAAAAAAACTCAATCATTCACAAAAACCATTGTACTTTTCTGTAACTTTTTTTTTTTACTCGTTCAATTTTTTTTTGAAATAAGGCTGAATAATAAATATTTCGTATGATTTAACTTGATATGTGAAAAAATAACATTATATTTTGATTATATTTGGCTATAAAAGAATTTCTTTTGGTGTTTTGTCCTTCAATTGTTCTTCAAATGAGGAGGGTTTGAAAGTACCACTAATGACGATAGGGATACCCATAAATATATATATGGCAATAAATAATAGTAACATGAAAAAAATATACAATATAATGTTAATAAAAATTATTTAAGTCACCATGTACAAAAGAATGGTTGGAATATGTAAGGAAAACTATAAAAATGATATTTTTGCCGATATCTCAGTTCTTATTGGTCAGAGGGTAAAAATAGTTATAACAAAATTTGTAGAAAATGTTCCAATCTACAATTTTGGTAATAACCATTTTTATCCTCCGACCAATAGGAATTGAGATATTTATGAAAATACGATTTTTTTGATGATTAACTTTGATATAATTTCGAAAAATCAATATTAGTCACTAATTTTTATTCAATTGCAACTTAATTTAAATAATCGAACGTTTACTACAAAAATTATTCAAAATTGTAGATACAAATAACATTTTTAACTATATCTCAGTTCTTATTGGTCAGAGGGTAAAAATAGTTATAACAAAACTTGTAGAAAATTTTTCAATCTACAATTTTGGTAATAACCATTTTTATCCTCCGACTAATAGGAACTGAGTTATTTATGAAAATATGATTTTTTTGATGATTACCTTTGATATAATTTCGAAAAATTAATATTAGTCACCAATTTTTATTCAATTGCAACTTAATTTAAATAATCGAAAGTTAACTTCAAAAATTATTCAAAATTGTAGATAAAAATAACATTTTTAACGATATCTCAGTTCCTATTAGTCAGAGGGTAATAATACTTATTACAAATCTTGTAGAAAATTTTCCAATCTACAATTTTGGTAATAACCATTTTTATCCTCCGACTAATAGGAACTGAGTTATTTATGAAAATATGATTTTTTTGATGATTACCTTTGATATAATTTCGAAAAATTAATATTAGTCACCAATTTTTATTCAATTGCAACTTAATTTAAATAATCGAAAGTTAACTTCAAAAATTATTCAAAATTGTAGATAAAAATAACATTTTTAACGATATCTCAGTTCCTATTAGTCAGAGGGTAATAATACTTATTACAAATCTTGTAGAAAATTTTCCAATCTACAATTTTGGTAATAACCATTTTTATCCTCCGACTAATAGGAACTGAGTTATTTATGAAAATATGATTTTTTTGATGATTACCTTTGATATAATTTCGAAAAATTAATATTAGTCACCAATTTTTATTCAATTGCAACTTAATTTAAATAATCGAAAGTTAACTTCAAAAATTATTCAAAATTGTAGATAAAAATAACATTTTTAACGATATCTCAGTTCCTATTAGTCAGAGGGTAATAATACTTATTACAAATCTTGTAGAAAATTTTCCAATCTACAATTTTGGTAATAACTATTTTTATCCTCCGGCCAATCGGAACCGAGATAAATATGTAAATATGATTTTTTTGACATTTAACCTTGATAATCCTTTAAAAAATCAATATTAATTACTAATTTTCATTAAATTGCAGATTGATTTTTAATAATCAAATGTTTTCTATAAAAATTATTCAAAATCGTTGATAAAAATAACATTTTTAACGATATCTCGGCTTATATTAGTCAGAGGGTAATAATACTTATTACAAGTCTTGTAGAAAAATTTCCAATCTACAATTTTGGTAATAACTATTTTTATCCTGCGGCCAATAGGAACTGAGATATTTACAAAAATATGATTTTTTTGACGTTTAACTTTGGCAAATCTGCAAAAAATCAATATTAATTATTAATTTTCATCAAATGGCAGATTAATTTTTAATAATCAAATGATTTCTTGAAAAATTATTCAAAATCGATAAAAATAACATTTTTAACGATATCTCAGTTTCTATTCGTCAGAGGGTAATAATACTTATTACAAATCTTGTAGAAAATTTTCCAATCTACAATTTTGGTAATAACTATTTTTATCCTCCGGCCAATCGGAACCGAGATAAATATGTAAATATGATTTTTTTGACATTTAACCTTGATAATCCTTTAAAAAATCAATATTAATTACTAATTTTCATTAAATTGCAGATTGATTTTTAATAATCAAATGTTTTCTATAAAAATTATTCAAAATCGTTGATAAAAATAACATTTTTAACGATATCTCGGCTTATATTAGTCAGAGGGTAATAATACTTATTACAAGTCTTGTAGAAAAATTTCCAATCTACAATTTTGGTAATAACTATTTTTATCCTGCGGCCAATAGGAACTGAGATATTTACAAAAATATGATTTTTTTGACGTTTAACTTTGGCAAATTGCAAAAAAATCAATATTAATTATTAATTTTCATCAAATGGCAGATTAATTTTTAATAATCAAATGATTTCTTGAAAAATTATTCAAAATCGATAAAAATAACATTTTTAACGATATCTCAGTTTCTATTCGTCAGAGGGTAATAATACTTATTACAAATCTTGTAGAAAATTTTCCAATCTACCATTTTGGTAATAACTATATTTATCCTCCGGCCAATAGGAACCGAGATAATTAGAAAAATGCAATTTTTTGACGATTAACTTTGATAGAACTTCAAAAAAATCAATATTAGTTACTAATTTTCATTAAATGGGAGATACAGTTTTAATAATTAAATGTTTTATTTAAAAAATTATTCAAAATCGTTGATAAAAATAACATTTTTAACGATATCTCAGTTCCTATTAGTCAGAGGGTAACAATACTTATTATAAATCTTGTAGAAAATTTTCCAATCTAAAATTTTGGTAATAACTATTTTTATCCTCCGGCCAATAGGAACCGAGATAAATATGAAAATATGATTTTTTTGACCTTTAAGCTTAACAAACCTTTAAAAAATCAATATTAATTATTAATTTTCATTAAATTGCAGATTGATTTTTAATAATCAAACGTTTCCTTTAAAAATTATTCAAAATCGTTGATAAAAATAACATTTTTAACGATATCTCAGTTCCTATTAGTCAGAGGGTAAAATTAGTTATTACAAAATTTGTAGAAAAGTTTTCAATCTACAATTTTGGTAATAACTATTTTTATCCTGCGGCCGATAGGAACTGAGATAATTACAAAAATATGATTTTTTTGACGTTTAACTTTGGCAAACCTGCAAAAAATCAATATTAATTATTAATTTTCATCAAATGGCAGATTAATTTTTAATAATCAAATGATTTCTTGAAAAATTATTCAAAATCGATAAAAATAACATTTTTAACGATATCTCAGTTTCTATTCGTCGGAGGGTAATAATACTTATTACAAATCTTGTAGAAAATTTTCCAATTTACAATTTTGGTAATAACTATTTTTATCCTCCGGCCAATAGGAACCGAGATAAATACGAAAATATGATTTTTTTGACTTTAACCTTAACAAACCTTTAAAAAATCAATATTAATTATTAATTTTCATTAAATTGCAGATTAATTTTTAATAATCAAATGTTTTCTTGAAAAATTATTCAAAATCGTTGATAAAAATAACATTTTTAACGATATCTCAGTTCCTATTAGTCAGAGGGTAATAATACTTATTACAAATCTTGTAGAAAATTTTCCAATCTACAATTTTGTTAATAACCATTTTTATCCTTCGACCAATAGGAACCGAGATAAATATGAAAATTTGATTTTTTGACGTTTCCCCTTGGCAAAACTTTAAAAAAATCAATATTAGTCATCAATTTTTATTCAATTGCGACTTAATTTAAATAATCGAACGTTTACTTCAAAAATTATTCAAAATTGTAGATACAAATAACATTTTTATCGATATCTCAGTTCCTATTGGTCAGAGAGTAAAATAAGTTATAACAGAATTTGTAGAAAATTTTCCAATCTACAATTTCGATAATAACTCATTCTACTTTCCGACCAATAGGAACCGAGATAATTACGAAAATACGATTTTTTGACGTTTAATTGAATTCGCATAAAGCTGTATAACATTTTAATAGTTTTCCTTTCATAAAAATAAACCAATTAAGTAAATTAATTCATAAAAAATACATTTAAATCACATTTAAAAGAATCTCAACATAAGAAGGGCTAACAGCATCAAGAGTTCACTTTTTGTTGTCATTTTGATTTCATATTTTGTTGAATAAATAAAAGCCAAGCTGCCACTATTATAATATATATAAAAAGTCTTTTTTTTTTTCATATTTTTCGTCGTATTAAAAGTATGTTCGAGTCACAAAATATTTTGACACATTTTATTTTCCTATACTGTCCCGTCGGTACTGGCGATTCGTCAAATTTTGCTTCTTGATAGAAAATTTCGAAAAAAAAAAATTTGTACATTCACTGGAAAGTTAGTGCGTAAAAAACGGTTTTACACACTCTAGTGTCATAATAAATTTTATTTACCACCAACGTGGACTTTAAACATTAAAAATAATCAATTTTATGAAGAAAAATTGAATTAGTCATTATAAGTCGTAGATAAAATATTCTATGATACCAAATCATCAATTACAAACAAATTTGACACCACAAAAAGCAAAATCCAACCTCAACGCTCTAGCACCTCTCTCACTTTAGTTACTCACTAATACGTCCGTTGGGCGCCACTTTGTTTACACCAAAAATCCTTCGTTGCCATTCACCCGAATCTGCGCCCTAATATTCTGAACGCTGTTCATGATCTTCTTCTGATGGCCGACCAGCGTGATGCCCAACTCCGTCAACTCTTTGACGGTGAGATTGACGACGGCGTCCATGTTGTTGATGCCGCCGGTGTGGAAGTTCTCCAAGTACCTGGTCATTTTGATCGAGTTCAACCACTCTTCGATGCAAGTGAAATTCGTGAGATCAGGGGCGTCGGCGGACAGGGGATTGGTTGATCTGGAAAGCAAGCAATCATGCGTTGTGAAAACCATGGAAATTGGGTCAGAAAATATTTATCAAATACATTTTTCATAAATTCAAAAATTAGAGGTGTCAAAAAGGCACAAAATAATAGGGAAAATGTCCGTTGCCCTCCCCTTAAGAGACGCTTATGATCGCAATAGAAAAATGGTTCCTGGTGCTTTAAATTGGCCATAAATTCCGACTTGGACAATCCCGAATAAGCGGAATTTCGACTTAGACAATCCAGAAATATCGAAATTCCGACTTAGACAATCTGGAAAATCGGAATTCCGACTTAAATAAGGCTGACAAGTCGGAATTTCGACTTGTACTAGTCGGAATTTCGATTTAGAGGTCGAAATATCGACTTACAACACGGAATTCAGACTTGTAACTCGGAATATCGACATATAACGTATTCCGACATTTAACATCCTTGTACAATCGCAAACCCCTCAGATACAATAAAATCTATTTTCATTTAGAAAATCTGTACCTGTACAATAGGATTCTTTTGTTTTCTCATAAAATTCTTCTATATATTTTATCAAGTAACTAAATTCTGTATAATTCTGCTGATAAATTGTCTTCTATCTAATGTAGAGTGATTCATTCTTATCGAGGACTTTGTTTAATATCAAGAGTCGTAATAATTGTGAGTGCAGCCTGCTGAATCGGAATTCTGAGTTACAAATCGAAATTTTTTGAGTTAGAAGTCGGAATTTTGAGTTACAAGTCGGAATTTTGAGTTACAAGTTGGAATTTTGAGTTACAAGTTGGAATTCCGAGTTATATGTCGGAATTTCGAATAAGCAGGACTTGTGGGTTAAAAAATCGGAATTTCGAGTTAAAAATGTGGCGCTTCTATAGAATTTTGAGTTAGGAAGTCGGAATTTTGAGTTACAAGTCGGAATTCCGAGTTATATATCGGAATTTCGAATAAGCAGGACTTGTGAGTTAAGAAATCGGAATTTTGAGTTACAAAAATGTGGCGCTTCTATAGAATTTTGAGTTAGGAAGTCGGAATTTTGAGTTAGGAAGTCGGAATTTTGAGTTACAAGTCGGAATTCGGAGTTATATGTCGGAATTTCGAATTAGCAGGACTTGTGAGGTAAAAAATCGGAATTTCGATTTAAAAATGTGGCGCTTATATAGAATTTTGAGTTAGGAAGTCGGAATTTTGAGTTACAAGTCGGAATTCCGAGTTATATATCGGAATTTCGAATAAGCAGGACTTGTGAGTTAAAAAATCGGAATTTCGAGTTACAAAAATATGGCGCTTCTATAGAATTTTGAGTTAGGAAGTCGGAATTTTGAGTTACAAGTCGGAATTCCGAGTTATATATCGGAATTTCGAATAAGCAGGACTTGTGAGTTAAGAAATCGGAATTTTGAGTTACAAAAATGTGGCGCTTCTATAGAATTTTGAGTTAGGAAGTCGGAATTTTGAGTTAGGAAGTCGGAATTTTGAGTTACAAGTCGGAATTCGGAGTTATATGTCGGAATTTCGAATTAGCAGGACTTGTGAGGTAAAAAATCGGAATTTCGAGTTAAAAATGTGGCGCTTATATAGAATTTTGAGTTAGGAAGTCGGAATTTTGAGTTACAAGTCGGAATTCCGAGTTATATATCGGAATTTCGAATAAGCAGGACTTGTGAGTTAAAAAATCGGAATTTCGAGTTACAAAAATATGGCGCTTCTATAGAATTTTGAGTTAGGAAGTCGGAATTTTGAGTTACAAGTCGGAATTCCGAGTTATATATCGGAATTTCGAATAAGCAGGACTTGTGAGTTAAGAAATCGGAATTTTGAGTTACAAAAATGTGGCGCTTCTATAGAATTTTGAGTTAGGAAGTCGGAATTTTGAGTTAGGAAGTCGGAATTTTGAGTTACAAGTCGGAATTCGGAGTTATATGTCGGAATTTCGAATTAGCAGGACTTGTGAGGTAAAAAATCGGAATTTCGAGTTAAAAATGTGGCGCTTATATAGAATTTTGAGTTAGGAAGTCGGAATTTTGAGTTACAAGTCGGAATTCCGAGTTATATGTCGGAATTTCGAATAAGCAGGACTTGTGAGTTAAAAAATCGGAATTTCGAGTTACAAAAATGTGGCGCTTCTATAGAATTTTGAGTTAGGAAGTCGGAATTTTGAGTTACAAGTCGGAATTCGGAGTTATATGTCGGAATTTCGAATTAGCAGGACTTGTGAGGTAAAAAATCGGAATTTCGAGTTAAAAATGTGGCGCTTATATAGAATTTTGAGTTAAGAAGTCGGAATTTTGAGTTACAAGTCGGAATTCCGAGTTATATGTCGGAATTCCGAGTTATATGTCGGAATTTCGAATAAGCAGAATTTGTGAGTTAAAAAATCGGAATTTCGAGTTACAATAAATGTGACGCTTCTATAGTTTCGTAATAATAAAAGGAAATGTTTCAACTGTATCCAAGTGTTCCTGGAATCTACAAAGATAGTACCTGAGTTAATTGTTTTCATTTATAGATCTAGATACTTACTAAACCATGTTCGTAATTAGGAGCAGGGTACAATTGTAGCAAAATAAGGACACGTCACGAGTTTTAGGTTATATCGGTATACGTAATAAGTAAGACACATTCCTCATTATTTCCCCAGATCTGGGGAAAAAAATGAAAATTTGGGGATATGGCAATGTAGTATTGAATAAGAATTGGCGGTAAATATTCTCACTATTGCCCCAAAAACTAGGCAAAATGTCTAATTAAATATATCTATGATTTAGCATTATATTGCAAAATTTGTATATTAAAAAATATACAATTTAATCTTTGAAACGTCGCAATTTAATATATTAAATGTTTTTTTTTATTTTTACATATTCTGGCCCGTCTCGTACAGTACCTACTCTCTAGGGAAACTTGGAGAGTACTTACCTGGGAATATTATACAAAGCGACGTTGCCATATCCGAAAATCTTCATACATTTTCCCCAGATCTGGGGAAATAATGCGGTGTAATTGTCACAGAAGTCAATTCGCCGGAATCGTTGCGGATGCAACACTGAAGATTGGTTAAATAGTAAAAGTACACATTCCCCATTATTTCCCTAGATCTGGGGAAACAATGAAAATGTGTGGATGTGGCAAAGTCGTTTTGCTTATGAATCACCGGTACTCTCCATATTTCCCAAGAAAGCAGATACCGAACGGCACGACTAATTTAATTAAAATATTACAAAATTTTTATTATAACCCCATAATATTAAATTAATTTAATATATGCAAAAGCAAGATTTTTCTATTTTTACATTTTCTTCTAGACCATTCATTCGGTGCCCTAATTTCCGGAGAATTATTAAATATACTTACCAGCGATTCTTATGCAAAGCGACGTTGCCATATCCACAATATTCATAATTTTTCCTCAGATCTGGGGAAACATTAATATTTTCGGACATGGTTTTAGTCTTACATTTGTGGATTTGGCAACGTCGTTGTGCATAAGAATCACCAGCAATTACTCTCCATATATCTTCAGAAAGCAGGTACCGAATGGCAGCACGATTAATTTACTATGTCTATGATTTAGTAATATAATGCAAAATTGTTATTACACGCATATTCATCGTCCAAACGGCAGTACAGTGTTGCCATTTAGTACGTAATTTCTGGGGAAAAATGAAAATCTGTGGATGTGGTAACGTCGTTTTGCATAAGAATCATCGGTCCTTCGAGCACGTCGCAGCCCATAATATTAAATTAATTTAATTATTACTTTATCGTCCAATAAATTTAATATATCTAAAAGGTATGTGCAGTGTTGCCATTCGGTATCTTATTTCTGGGAAACCATGGAGAGTACTTACTGATGATTCTTATACAAAGCGTCGTTGCCATGTACACGAATCTTCCATCATTTTTCCCCAGATCTGGGGAAAAATTAAAATTAGTGGATTTGGCAATTTCGTTTTTGCTTAAGAACCACCGGTCCTTTGGGCACGTCGCAGCCCATAATATTAAATTAATTTAATTATTACTTTATCGTCCAAATACATTTAATATATCCAAAAGGTATGTGCAGTGTTGCCATTCGGTACCTTATTTCTGGGAAACATGGAGAGTACTTACCGACGATTTATACAAAGCGTCGTTGCCATGTACACGAATCTTCATAATTTTTTCCCCAGATCTGGGGAAAAATTAAAATTAGTGGATTTGGCAAATTCGTTTTGCATAATAATAACCGATCCTTTGGGCACGTCGCAGCCCATACTATTAAATTAATTTAGTTATTACTTTATCGTCCAAATAAATTAAAATATATCCAAAAGGTACGTGCAGTGTTGCCATTCGGTATCTTATTTCGGGGAAAACATGAAGAATAATTATCGGCGATTCTTGTACAAAGCGACGTTACCATGTTTACGAATCTTCATCAATTTTCCCCAGATCTGGGGAAAAATTAAAATTAGTAATTTGGCAAAATCTTTTGCATAAGAATCACCGGTCCTTTGGGCACGTCGCAACCTATAATATTAATTTAATATATCTAAACGTAAGAATTTTCTATTTTTTACATTTTCTTCTAGCCCGTCCCGTACAATGTTGCCATTCGGTACCTAATTTGTAGGGAAGTATGAAGAATACTTACCGCTGATTTTTCTACAAAGCAACGTTGCTAAAATTTTAATAATTTTCTCTCAAATCTGAAGAAAAATTAAAATTTGAGGCTACAGTAATGTCTTCACAATTTTTCCCCAGATCTGGGGAAAAATTAAAAATAGTGGATATCAAGTAACGTTGCCGTATCCACAAATTTTAATCATTTTTCCTTAGATCCGAGGAAAAAAATAAGATTTGTGGATATATTAATGGTTGTCCCAAGATCTGGGGAAAAACTTAATGTGTGGATGTATCAACGTTGTTTTGCACAAGAATCACCGGTCCTTTGGGCACGTCGCAGCCCATAATCATAAATTATTACTTTATCGACCAAATAAAATTAATATATACAACAGGTACGTGCAGTGTTGCCATTCGGTACCTTATTTCTGGGAAACATGGAGAGTACTTACCGACGATTCTTATACAAAGCATCGTTGCCATGTACACGAATCTTCATCATTTTTCCCCCAGATCTGGGGAAAAATTAAAATTAGTGGATTTGATGTCGTTACAAGTAAGACACCGGTCCTTTGGGCACGTCGCAGCCTATAATACTGAATTAATTTAGTTATTACTTTATCGTTCAAATAAATTTAAATATGTCCAAAAGGTACGTGCAGTGTTGCCATTCGGTATCTTATTTCGGGAAAACATGAAGAATAATTACCGGCGATTCATTATACAAAGCGAAGTTGCCATGTTTACGAATCTTCATAATTTTTCCCCAGATCTGGGGAAATATTGTAAAATGTGTCCTACTTATTACTCGTATATTTTATAATAATACATTTACACACTTTCGAAAATACGAATCGATAACATGTTAAAAATACAAAAAAAGCTTAAAAGTAATGTTAGTGCAGCATGCATAAAGGGTAAAAAAAAGCAAAAACAAATACCTTTGCAAACAAAAACCACAGCAAGCATATTTACACATTAACAAAATTGACCCAAGCTCCCCCAGTCTGTGCATTATCCTTATTATCCTTAACATTGGTCCTAGCTTCGACCCTCTCCACATTATTATCGTCCAACAAATTATCAGAAACCGGTCTCGTCGTTGCAATTATTCGAATTCGATTCGTCTTTGAAGTTGTCCGAGAATTGTTCGCTCAGTTCTAGTAAATCGGAATTATTATTATTGGGATGTTTGTTAATCATTTGCATGAAAAAATGATCGGGGCGTTTGCTGAAATCTTCTTTGTCATCGAATAGATCCGGTTTTTTACCGAAAAAGTTCTCGGTTTGCGTATCGTACTCTTCTTTATCGCTGAAGAACATATTCGTCATCCCTTGGCTTTGCGCGTTGTTTATGACGTTGACGTTCGGATAATAAGGAGTATGGTGATCGAAGTTGTCTTTACCGAAGTTATTACTCAGCCACGCATTCGTATTGAGTTCTCTTAACTGGCTACCGGTGTTGCTATCGCAAGCAAAATTATCTTCTTTTAGATTCAACAAACTGCTGAATCTCTGCTTCATTTCGTGTTCGATCAACGAATTTCTGTATTCGTTTTCTATTCTTCTTCGTAGTTCTAATTGCTGCGGTGACATATCCTGTACCACGCCGTAATTTTGCAGTAAAATAACGTCCGGAAGACCGTAATACGGATGCGTTTCGACTTCGGCTATGTCGGCGTGTAATTGACGCGTCGTTGTAACGAACCGAAATAAGGATTGTGATGCAAGTGAGACAGTTCTGATAATTGCATGACTGGGGTAATGTGAGAGGGGTAAGTTTTGTGAAGAAGGCCAGGGAAGATTATATGGTAGCTGCGTTCTAAAACGAGTGAGAAAAAAGAATAATGAGGGAAATTGTTGCGTGTTAAAAATAAAATGACTAAGTGTAGTGTGTGACTAAGTTTTGTGAGAAGCGTCTTGAATTTTTGTAAAATAAACATACATATTTATAAAAATATGATTAATAGTGGCCCCAAGCGAGAACCATGAGGCAGTCTTTAAAATATTCAAAATGCTTTCCAACTATTTTTAAAATTAGTTTAATTATTGTAGGTGACGATAAATAATAATTAAAAAAAAAGAAGTGAAAGCAAACGAAGTGAAGTACATACAAATAAATCGGTGCCACATCTAAAGCATTCACTTTAGCGACATCTATTAAGCTAGTTCTAATTTAAAACCTTGAATTAAATCGATTACTTTATTTTGTAATGGTACAAGAAGGCGAAGAAGCGCTACAATTTTTTATTACAAATTCCGACTTGTAACAGGAAATTCCGACTTTATAACAGGAAATTCCGACTTGAAATAGACTTCTTAATCGGAATTTCGACTTAGGCAAGTCTGAAAAGTCGGAATTTCGATATATAAGACGGAATTCTTACTCGTAACTAGAAAGTAAGGCTTCTAAATCGGAATTCAGATGTCTAGACAACGAAGACAAACTCGACAGTAAAGAATTTTGGCTTGTAACGCGGAATTTAAACCCTTAAATCGGAATTACGACTTAGTCAAGATCATCGAGTCAGAATTTCTATATAGAAGACGTAATTTCGATATAGAAGACGGAATTTCGATATGGACAACGGAATTTCGATATGGACGACGGAATTTCGATATAGAAAACGAAATTTCGATATAAAAGACGGAATTTCGATATGGACGACGAAATTTCGATATGGACGACGGAATTTCGATGTGGACGACGGAATTTCGATATAAAAGACGAAATTTCTATATAAAAGATGGAATTTCGACATAGACGACGGAATTTCGACATAGACGACGGAATTTCGATATGGTCGGCGGAATTTCGACAGAAGACGAAATTCCAACTTATAACGGAAAAATTCGGATTTCAAATGGAAATTTAGTGGTCTAAACAAGAATTCATATTCATAAATGAGAATTAATACTTCTAAATTGGAATCAAGACTTCTAAATTGAAATTAAGACTTCTTAATCGGAATTAAGACTTCTAAATTGAAAATCCCACTAAGACAAACTGAACCATGCGGGTTTCCGACTTGAAAGTAGTAAATTCGGCTTCAAAACTGGAATATCAAAATTTAGACTATGACAGGTTCGATAAGTCGTAATTTCGATATAGAAGTCGGAATTTCGATATAGAAGTCGAAATTTCGATATAGAAGACGGAATTTCGACTTAAAAATGGGAAAATTCGTTTCTAAATCGTAATTTAGACGTCTAGAACAAAATTCAGAATTATAAATTGGAATTAATATTTCTAAAATAGAATTCCAACTATTACTAACGCAAAAAGATGGAATTTTGGCTAATAACTCGGAATTTAGACTCCTAAATGAAAATTCCCAGTTAGTTAAGACCGGCGAACCATAATTTTGATATAGAAGGCAGCGTTTCGATATAGGAGACGGAATTTCGATATAGAAGACGGAATTTCGACTTAAAAATGGGAAAATTCGTTTCTAAATCGTAATTTAGACGTCTAGAACAAAATTCAGAATTATAAATTGGAATTAATATTTCTAAAATAGAATTACAACTATGACTAACGCAAAAAGATGGAATTTTGGCTAATAACTCGGAATTTAGACTCCTAAATGAGAATTCCCAGTTATTTAAGACCGGCGAACCATAATTTTGATATAGAAGGCAGCGTTTCGATATAGGAGACGGAATTTCGATATGGCCGATGGAATTTTGAAACAGAAGACGGAATTTCAATACAGAAAACGAAATACCAACTTATAACTGAGAAATTCGGCTTTCAATTCAAAATTTAGATGTCTAAAACAGAATTAATACTTCTAAAATAGAATTCCAACTATGATTAACTCAAAAAGATGGAATTTAGGCTGAAGACTCGGAATTTAGACTCCTAAACTAGAATTCTGAGTAAGCCAAGACTGGTGAGCCACAATTTCGATATAGAAGGCGGAATTTCGATACGGACGACGGAATTTCGACACAGAAGACGGAATTTCGATATAGAAAACGATATACCAACTTATAACTAGGAAATTCAGCTTTCAATTCGAAATTTAGATGTCTAAAACGGAATTCATATTTCTGAATCGGAATTAAGACTTCTAAATTGGAATTCCCACTATGACAAACTCGACAAGCGGGATTTCCGACTTGAAACTAGTAAATAGGCTTCTAAATTGAAATTCAGACCCCCAAATCAAAATTTCGACTATGACAAGTCCGATAAGTCGGAATTTCGATATAGAAGACAGAATTTCGACATGAAACTGGGAAAATCCGCTTCTAAATCGGAATTCAGACGTCTAGGACGGAATTCAGATTTATAAAATTGAATTGAACAATTCTAAACTGGAATTATAACTAAGACAAACTGAACCAAACGGAAATTTGACTTGTAACTCGGAATTTAGATTCCTGAATCCGAATTTCAACAAGTCCAAAGAGTCAGAATTGGAATTCAGACTTTTAAATCGAAATTCTGAGTAACAAGTCGGAATTCCGAGTTACAAGGCTAAATTACGAATTACAAGTCAGAATTACGAGTTACAAGTAAAATTTTCAAGGTTCAAGTCAGAATTTTGATTTACAAGTCTCAATCACGAGTTACAAGCTTAATGTACTCGTTATAAACCGTAGCAACGAGTAGCAAGTGGAAATATTTGTAAAAAGATTGTAGCGCTATCATTTCGTAATAATAAGAGGGTTTTAATTTAATTCCAGTTTAAAGTTTCTAGTTTTGATTGGTGAATAATTTATTTACATGATGGGCTAATATTGTCGGGTGAAATAAATAAAATAGAATAAACTTACCGATTCTGAGCAATTTTTCTTAGGGTATCAGGGACTCGAATTAATTTATCTAAAGTTTTTACAATCGATTGGAAAGTAGGCCTGTGGGTCCTTTCTTTTTGCCAACAATCTAGCATTAATTGGTAAATTGCTTCCGGACAATCCATAGGCGCTGGCAATCTAAAACGAAACGTATGTGATTGTAATATTATTACCTAGTAAGAGTTAAAGAATTGTTAAAATTGTAAAAATCGTAAAAATGGTAAAACTTGTAAAAATGTTAACAATTGTAAGAAATGTGACAATGAATGAATGAATTGTAAAGATAAATTGTAAGAATGAAGTGTAAGAATTAATTGTAATCATTATTTGTAAGAATTATTTTTAAAAATTATTTGTAAGAATGAATTGTAAGAATTATATATAAAAATGAACTGTAAGAATTATGTGTTAAAATGATTTGTAAACATTGTAAGAATTAATTGTAAAAAGAAATAAATGTAAGAATTATATGTAAAAAGAAATAACTGTAAGAATTATATGTAATTATTAATTGTAAGGATTTACTGTAAGCATTAACTGTAAAATTAATTATAAGAATTAATTGTAAGAATTAATTGTAAAAATTGCATTATTAATTTTAAGTATTTACTGTAAGAATTAATTGTAAAAATAAATATTGTAAGAATGAATTGTAAAAATGAATTGTAAAAATGAATTGTAAGAATGAATTGCAAGAATGAATTGCAAGAATTAATTTAAAAAATGAATTATAAGAATGAATTGTAAGAATTATATGTAAGAATTATGTGTTAAAATTATTTGCCAACATTGTGAGAATTAATTGTAAAAAAGTAATAAATGTAAGAATTATATGTAAAAATTGCATTAATAATTAAATTTACTGTAAGAATTCACTGTAAAAATTAATTGTAAGAATGAATTGTAAAAATGAATTGTAAAAACGAATTGTGAGAATGGATTGTAAGAATTAATTAAATGAATGAATTGTAAGAATTATATGTAAGAATTATATGTAATAATTAACTGTCAAAATTATGTGTTAAAATTATTTGTTAACATTGTAAGAATTTTGTAAAAAAGAAATAAACGTTACAATTAATTGTAAAAATTAATTGTAAGAATGAATTGTAATAATGAAATGTAAGAATGAATTGTGTTAAAATTATTTGTTAACATGGTAAGAATTAATTGCAAAAAAGAAATAAATGTAAGAATTAATTGTAAAAATTACATTAGAAATTGTAAGAATGAATTGTAAGAAGGAATGGTAAGAATGAATTGTAAGAAAGAATTATAAGAATTTAATTAAAAGAATGAATTGTAAGAAGTATATGTAAGAATTAACTATAAAAATTAACTGTAAGAATTATGTGTTAAAATTATTTAACATTGTGAGAATTAATTGTAAAAAAGAAATAAATGCGAGAATTAATTGTAAAAATTGCATTATTAATTGTAAGGATTTACTGTAAGAATTAACTGTAAGAATGAATTGTAAGAATGAATTGTAAGAATGAATTGTAAGAATGAATTGCAAGAATGAATTGTAAGAATGAATTTTAAGTATGAATTGTAAAAATGAATTACAAGAATGAATTGTAAGCATTATATGTAAGAATTAACTGTAAAAAAGAAATAAATGTATGAATTAATTGTCAAAATTGTATTAAGTGTAAGGATTTACTGTAAGAATTAACTGTAAAAATTAATTGTAAGAATGAATTGTAAGAATCAATTGTAATAATTAAATGTTAGAATTAATTAATTAATTGTAAGAATTAATTTTAATTGTAAGATTGTATAAATTGCAAAACTAATAAAAATAGTAAAAATTGTAAAATTGTTAAAATTGTTAAAATTGTTAAAATTGTTAAAATTGTTAAAATTGTTAAAATTGTTAAAATTGTTAAAATTGTTAAAATTGTTAAAATTGTTAAAATTGTTAAAATTGTTAAAATTGTTAAAATTGTTAAAATTGTTAAAATTGTTAAAATTGTTAAAATTGTTAAAATTGTTAAAATTGTTAAAATTGTTAAAATTGTTAAAATTGTTAAAATTGTTAAAATTGTTAAAATTGTTAAAATTGTTAAAATTGTTAAAATTGTTAAAATTGTTAAAATTGTTAAAATTGTTAAAATTGTTAAAATTGTTAAAATTGTTAAAATTGTTAAAATTGTAAAAATGGAAAAATTGGAAAAAATTGAAAAAAATGAAAAAATTGTAAAACTTGTAAGAATGGTAAGAATTATAAGAATTGTAAGTATTCCAAAAATTGTAATACATGTAATTATTGGGGAATTATGTTAAGATTTGAATTGTAAAAAATGTCAAATTGTAAAACGAAACTCATATGATTATAATATTACGTAATAAGAGTTAGAATGTTGTAAGAGTCGTAAGGTTGTCGTAGTTGTATGAGTTGTAAAAGTTGTATGGTAAGGTTGTAAAGTTTTAAGGTTGCAAGAGTTGTAAGATTGTAAACTTTTAAGATTGTAAGAGTTGTAAGGTTGTAAAGTTTTATGGTTGAAAGAGTCTTTAGATTGTAATGTTTTAAAGTTGTAAAGTTTTAAGTTTGTAAAGATTTAAGTTTTTAAAGTTTTAAGTTTGTAAAGTTTAAGGTTTGTAAAATTTTAAGTTTGTAAAGTTTTAAGGTTGTCATAGTTATGAGAGTTAGTTGTAACAGTTGTTAAAACTGTAAGCTTGTAAAATTGTAAAATTATAAATGTTAATGATCCTAGAATTGTTAGAATTGTAAAAATTGTAATAATGGAAAGAAGAGTAAGAATTGTAAAAACGGTAAGAATTGTAAGAATCGTAATGATTGTAAGAATTGAGGGAATTGTTAGATTAGCAATGTAAGAGTTGTAAGAAATGTATGAGCTATAAAATTGTAATAATTGTAGAAATTGTTAGAATTGTAAAATTATAAAAATAGTAAAAATTGTAAATATTGTAAATATTGTAAAAATTGTAAAAATTGTAAAAAATTGTAAAAAATTGTAAAAAATTGTAAAAAATTGTAAAAAATTGTAAAAAATTGTATACATTGCAAAAAATTGTAATTACTTACCTGTAACCCTTTTCGATGCTCTTAATGACATCTTGATTCGACCAGTTCCAGTACGGCCGCTCCCCGTAGGACATCACTTCCCAACACACAATACCCATCGACCATACGTCGCTGGCCGAAGTAAATTTCCTGAACGCTATTGCTTCCGGAGCCGTCCATCGGACCGGAATTTTTCCGCCCTGCAAAAATAAACGATCGAGCGTTAAGGCGCGGTACCTTAGAAACCGAGGGTTCGAATCTCGCCTAACAGGTGATTTGATGTAAAAACGAATGAGGTAATAATAATATAGAACAATTATATTGTACAAATTGTAAAATTGTAAAAATTGTGAAAATTGTAAAAATTGTAAAAATTGTAAAAATTGTAAAAATTGTAAAAATTGTAAAAATTGTAAAAATTGTAAAAATTGTAAAAATTGTAAAAATTGTAAAAATTGTAAAAATTGTAAAAATTGTAAAAATTGTAAAAATTGTAAAAATTGTAAAAATTGTAAAAATTGTAAAAATTGTAAAAATTGTAAAAATTGTAAAAATTGTAAAAATTGTAAAAATTGTAAAAATTGTAAAAATTGTAAAAATTGTAAAAATTGTAAAAATTGTAAAAATTGTAAAAATTGTAAAAATTGTAAAAATTGTAAAAATTAAAAAAAAAATAAAGATTGTAAAATTGTAAAAATGGTAAAAATTGTAAAATTTGTAAAAATTGTAAAAACTAAAATTGTAAAAATTAAAAAAAATTGTAAAATGTAAGAATTGGATTGTAAAAATTGAGGGAATTGTTAGATTGACAATGTAAGAGTTATAAGAAATGTATGAGCTATAAAAATTGTAATAATTGTAAGAATCGTAAAAATGTAAAAATTGTAAAATTGTAAAATTGTAAAAATTGTAAAAACTGTAAAAATTGTAAAAAATTGTAAAAATTAAAAAAAATTGTAAAATTGTAAAAATTGTAAAAATTGTAAAAATTGTAAAAATTGTAAAAATTGTAAAAATTGTAAAAATTGTAAAAATTGTAAAAATTGTAAAAATTGTAAAAATTGTAAAAATTGTAAAAATTGTAAAAATTGTAAAAATTGTAAAAATTGTAAAAATTGTAAAAATTGTAAAAATTGTAAAAATTGTAAAATGTAAGAATTTGATTGTAAAAATTGAGGGAATTGTTAGATTGACAATGTAAGAGTTGTAAGAAATGTATGAGCAATAAAAATTGTAATAATTGTAGAAATTGTTAGAATCGTAAAAATTGTAAAAATGTAAGAATTGATGTAAAAACGAATGTGGTAATAATAATAATATAGAACAATTATAAAATTAACAAAAATACTATAAATTCATATCAGAAATAAGATTAAATATACATACAAAATAAATTGTTTATAACTTACTTCAGTAAGCTAGAAAGAAAAAAGTTTATTTTTTATATAATTATAGATTCAATGAAATAACTAAAAAGAACAAAATTTATAATAATAAATATAACAACAACAGGAGAACAATAACTAGAAATAATAAAACACCAAATATAAAAATTTGTTTGGTTATATAAACTCACCCTTGTCGTATACGCTCCTTCGGTAGCGCTTTCGATTTCTCGACTCAAGCCGAAATCGGCTATCTTACATATTAATTGCGAATTCACCAGCACGTTTCTGGCCGCCAAATCTCGATGGACGTAGTTCATCTCGCTGAGATATTGCATACCCGATGCTATGCCTCTCAGCATACCTGTGAGTTGGATCACTTGGAATTTCCCATCGTTCGCCTGCAAAACGAAACGATTTTAAAGGACTATCTAGCGATTATGACAAACTACTCCTCGTACAATATGCTATTGTTAGTTTTTTTTTTTAATTTTAAGAGTTAATTGTAAAAAATGTAAGAAATAAATGTAAGAATTAATTGTAAAAATTGAATTAACTGTCAAAATTATTAGTAAGAATGAATTGTAAGAATTAATTGTGAGAATGAATTAATTCTAGTTGTAAGATTTATAAGGGTAATCCATGAGCGCTGTCAATCTAAAACGAAACGTATGTGATTGTAATATTATTACATAGTAAGATTGGTTAAGAGTTTAAAAAATTGTTTGAATTGTAAAATGGTAAAAATTTAAAAAATTTTAAGAATTGTGGACAATTGTAAGAATTGTGACAATTTTAAGAATTATAAGACTGAATTGTAAGAATGAATTGTAAAAATGAATTGTAAGAATGAAATGTAAGAATGAATTGTACGAATTAAAATAATGAATTGTAAGAATTAATTAAAGAAATGAATTGTAAGAAATGTAAGAATTAATTGTAAAAATTGTAATAATTAATTGTAAGGATTTACTGTAAGAATTAACTGTTTTAGTGTTTGTTTTTGTTTTATATCCAAATATCTAACATCAGAATTGAGATCGTCATCCTTCCCACGAAGTCTCATAAAATTGTGAAGTAAATATCAAAGTACCTATTCGTATTATTATTATTATTCATTTTAGCAACTGCGAAGAAAACCACGCTACGCCACACGCTTACAATAGGATGGAAAGAAAATAGGACTTCGAGCACGAAGGCAATCTAAATCAATAGAAAATCAGGAAAAAATTAGTTTCAAAATTATACAAAACACTACTTTTACGAATTTTACCATAAAACATATTCGTTTACCTCTATAACTTTTAAAATATTGATGCAACTAAAAAAATAGTTATTACGAAAATTATAGAGAATTTAATGATCTACAAGTTTTATTAAAGGTATTTTAATATAAAATTTACTTTTAACGTCATATCTCGCAAAATATTAACTTTAATGAAAAAGTTCTTAGCAAATCATGTATGGAATTTCAATGTTCACAAAAAAGGTTTTTATGATATTTATCATAAAACATATCATTACGAAGATATTTGTTAAAAACATTTTTGGACGTTACGATTTAAAGCATAACTCGTAAAATATTGATGTTACGAAAAAAATAGTTATTACAAAAATTATAGAGAATTTTATGCTCTTCAAGTTTTATTCAAGGTACATTTATATAGAGTTTACGTTTTACGTTATATCTCGAAAAATATTAACTTTCATGAAAAAGTTCTTAGCAGAACATGTAGAGAATTTCAATGTCCACAAAAAAGATTATGACGACTTTTATCATAAAACATGTCATTACAAAAATATTTGTTAAAAACATTTTTGGACGTTACGATTTAAAGCATATAAACCTGCATAACTCGTAAAATATTGATGCTACGAAAAAAATTGTAGTTACAAAAATATAGAGAATTTCAAGCTTTACACGTTTCATCAAAGGCATTTTTATATATAATTTACATTTAATGTTATAACTCGAAAAATATTAACTTTCATGAAAAAGTTCTTAGCAGAATATGTAGAGAATTTCAATGTCCACAAAAAAGGTTATGACGACTTTTATCATAAAACATGTCATTACAAAGATATTTGTTAAAAACATTTTTGGACGTTACGATTTTAAGCATTTAAACCTGCATAACTCGTAAAATATTGATGCTACGAAAAAAATTGTAGTTACAAAAATATAGAGAATTTCAAGCTTTACACGTTTCATCAAAGGCATTTTTATATAGAATTTACATTTAATGTTATAACTCGAAAAATATTAACTTTCATGAAAAAGTTCTTAGCAGAATATGTAGAGAATTTCAATGTCCACAAAAAAGGTTATGACGACTTTTATCATAAAACATGTCATTACAAAGATATTTGTTAAAAACATTTTTGGACGTTACGATTTTAAGCATTTAAACCTGCATAACTCGAAAAATATTGAGGGTACGAAAAAAATTGTAGTTACAAAAATATAGAGAATTTCATGCTTTACACGTTTTATCAAAGGTATTTTTATAGAGAGTTTACATTTAATGTTATAACTCGAAAAATATTAACTTTCATGAAAAAGTTCTTAGCAGATTATGTAGAGAATTTCAATGTCCACAAAAAAGGTAATGACGACTTTTATCATAAAACATGTCATTACACAGATATTTGTTTAAAACATTTTTGGACGTTACGATTTTAAGCATTTAAACCTGCATAACTCGTAAAATATTGATGCTACGAAAAAAATTGTAGTTACAAAAATATAGAGAATTTCAAGCTTTACACGTTTTATCAAAGGCATTTTTATATAGAATTTACATTTAATGTTATAACTCGAAAAATATTAACTTTCATGAAAAAGTTCTTAGCAGAATATGTAGAGAATTTCAATGTCCACAAAAAAGGTTATGACGACTTTTATCATAAAACATGTCATTACAAAGATATTTGTTAAAAACATTTTTGGACGTTACGATTTTAAGTATATAAACCTGCATAACTCGTAAAATATTGATGCTACGAAAAAAATTGTAATTACAAAAATTATAGAGAATTTCATGCTTTACACGTTTTATTAAAGGTATTTTTATATAAAATTTACGTTTAACGTCATATCTCGCAAAATATTAACTTTAATGAAAAAGTTCTTAGCAAATCATGTATGGAATTTCAATGTCCACAAAAAAGGTTATGACGACTTTTATCATAAAACATGTAATTACAAAGATATTTGTTAAAAATATTTTTGAATGTTACGATTTTAAGCATTTAAAAACTGCATAACTCATAAAATATTGATGCTACGAAAAAAATTGTAATTACAAAAATATAGAGAATTTCATGCTCTACACATTTTATAACAGGTATTTTAATATAAGATTTACTGTTAACGTTATATCTCGGAAAATATTAAATTTAGATAAAAAGTTTTACGCAGAAAATATAGTAAATTTAATTATCTACAAAAAAGTATTTAACCATTTTTGCCGTAAGACGCATAGATCACAAGATATACAAAAATTTAAAAGGCGTGGGTAAAGAAAAAACTACTTATATTTGCTAAAAAGTCAATTTATGATTCGCCAAAAGTTCAACTATATTATTAAGAATTTTTGACGTTTATCAATAGTTTTTTAAGTATGGCAATTCTCTTTCGACGTTATTCACTAATTTTTGGCCGTGTTAGATCCACTGTTCTTAATATTAATTTTTGTTCAATTATTTCAATTTTGATTATTAATTCTTGTATAATTATTCCAATAAAAAAAATGATGACCATTTATTATACTCTGAATGTCTCTAGCCGACACCGATCGTATGGGGATCAGTCAGTCTTGATACGATCACCTAAACGCTCGGATTGTTTTTGCCACTGGTTACAATTAGAATTTTAGTGTTTGTTTTTGTTTTATATCCAAATATCTAACACTATTTTAAAATGATTGAAAAAATATATAAAATACACATCAGGTCTCATTTTTTAGCATCAACATTTATCACCATTCTTCTAGCATTAAATGGATAAGTGAAGTTGCATTTTTTTAAACCAGCGTGTTTTACTTTCCATTACATTCCGGAAAAAGGAATAAATATGATTCATGTCTAAACTATTATACATACTCGAAATTGACTTACCCTCAGGAACGTGTCAAGTGATCCATTTTCCATGTACTCGGTAATAATCATCACGGGATTCGATTTCGTTACCACTCCTTGCAAAAAGATGACGTTCGGATGTTCGAATTGACCCATTATGGAGGCTTCGGTTAGGAAATCGTTTCGAGATTTATCCAAAGATCCGGCCTTCAAGGTTTTTATCGCCACATCGATGTCTACCCCGTTCATTTTCAGTTTTCCTCTGCATACGTCACCAAATTCTCCACCGCCTTAAGAAAAACGCGATATTGTAGATGCGACCTAGATTTGTACATGTTTTATACCAACTTACCTATGATCGCTTCTATTGTTATACAACTGGCGTCAATTTCTCTGGCGAATTCTCTTACAGCCTGATTGGGGTCTTCGTAAGTGTGAGGATCGATGTAGGTTCTGGAAGAACCGCTGATGCCGGTAAAAAGCGGTGTTGTCACTATGAGAAAAGTATTTTAGATATTTCGTCTATTAAATATTGATAATAGAAAAATGTATCATTCAAAAATTAAGCAGAACAACGAAAGCAAAACTTAGAAATGTTAAAATGCTGCTAAAATATTTAAATTTAAAACTTTGTATGTATCAAACAGAAGACTGTATAGTCATTTTTGTTATTGTATAAAGTTTTTCGATCAAAATCAATAGCAAAAACATTTAAATTTAGATGATTAAGATGTAAAACATCTACTATTTCATAACGCGTCAAAAGTTTATCTCTATTTTAAAGTTTTTTTAATGTTTGACACTATTGTTTGACGTTTGACATTCATGTTTCGACTTTGGATACTATTTTTAACATTTACAACTAGTTTTTGACATTTGACAATATTTTTTGACGTCTAACGCTTATATTTCGACTTTGGATACGAATTTTTGATATTTGACACCAGTTTTTGACGTTTGTTACTAGTTTTTGATGTTTGACACTTATAATTTGACGTTTGGTTGTAGTTTCTTACACTTGACACTTATTTTTTGTTATTGTTTAGTAGTTTGAATAGAGACAATTTACTATTTTATTATGTGCAAAAGTTTTTTTTTGACTTTTGACACATATTTCATCTTCGGATACTGATTTTTGATAAGTGATATTAGTTTTTGATATCTGACACTTATATTTTGACGTTTGGTTTCAGTTTTTTGACATTTCAGATTTATTTTTTAACATTTATCACTGGTTTGAATGTAAACAATGTAACTATTGTTTTATGGAGCAAAAGTAACTATTATTAGGCTCTTTTGATGTTTGACAATAGTTTTTGAGGTTTGACAGTTATATTTCGACTTTGGATAATATTTTTTAACATTTACCGCTAGTTTTTGACAGTTGACAATACTTTTTAACGTCTTTACACTTATATTTCGACTTTGGATACTAATTTTTGATATTTGACACTAGTTTTTGACGTTTGACACTATTTTTTGATGTTTGACACTTATATTTTGACGTTTGGTTACAATTTTTGACATTTCACATTTATTTTTCAACATTTGTCACTGGTTTGAATGTAAACAATGTAACTATTGTATTATGGAGCAAAAGTAACTAATATTAAGTTCTTTTGATGTTTGACAATAGTTTTTGACGTTCAACATTTATATTTCGACTTTGGATACTATTTTTTTAACATTTACCACTAGTTTTTGACAGTTGACAATACTTTTTAACGTCTTTACACTTATATTTCGACTTTGGATACTAATTTTTGATATTTGACACTAGTTTTTGACGTTTGACAATATTTTTTGATGTTTGACACATATTTTGACGTTTGGATATAGTTTTTGAACTTTGACACTTATTTGTTTGGTATTTTTCCTGGTGTAAACATAAACAGTTTACTATTTTATTATGTGTAACAGTTTTACTCTGGTTCCAGTTTTTTGACATTTCACATTTATTTTTCAACATTTGTCACTGGTTTGAATGTAAACAATGTAACTATTGTATTATGAAGCAAAAATTAATATTATTAAGCTTTTTTGATGTTTATACCAATAGTTTCTGACGTTTGACCCTTATATTTCGACTGTAGATACTAGTTTTTGACATTTGACACCAGTTTTAGACATTTGACACTAATATATTGACATTTGGTGCCAGTTTTTTGATATTTGAGACTTATTTTTTTAAAATTTATCACTAGTTTAAATGTAAGCAATGTGCAATTGTATTACGCGTCAAAAGTTTGACATTTAACTCTTGTTTTTGATGTTTGACACTTATATTTTGACATTTGGTTCTAGTTTTTTGACATTTAAGACTAGTTTTTGACGCTTGACAATAATTTTTGACGTTTAACACGTACATTTCGACTTTGAATACTAATTTTTGATATTTGCAACTTATATTTTGACGTTTGATACTAGTGTTTCACATTTGAGAATTACTTTTTAACATTTGTGACTAGTATAAATGTAGGCAGTGTACTATTATTGTATTGAGCCAAAAGTTTAAATATTTTCAAGCCTTTTTCATGTTTGACAATAGTTTTTGACGTTGAAAACTTACATTTCGACTTTAGATACTAGTTTTTGACATTTGACACTAATTTTTGACGTTTGACACTTATATTTCTACTTTACAATAATAATTTTTGACATTTAACGCTAGTTTTTGAGGTTTGCCATTAGGTTTTAATATTTGATATTCATATTTTGACGTGTGGTTCTAATTTTTATAACATTTGAGACTTATTTTTTGACATTTGTCACTAGTTTGAATATAAACAATATATTGTTTTATCATGAGTCAAAAGTTTAACTGTTTTTAAGTCTTTTTGATGTCTGACAATAGTTTCTGACGTTTGACCCTTATATTTAGACTGTAGATACTAGTTTGACATTTGACACTAGTTTATGATGTTTGACACTTATATTTTGATATTTGGTCCTAGTTTTTGACGGGTGACAATAGTTTTGACAACTTTGGATACTAATTTTTGACATATGACACTAGTTTTTGATGTTTCAAACTTTTTTTGACATTTGATATTAGTTTTTCACATTTTAGACTTATTTTTTGATATTTATCACTAATTTAAAAGTGAACAATGTATAATTTTATTATGAGTCGAAGGTTTAACTCCGTTTATAAGTTTTTTTTTGATGGTTGATTATAGTTTTTGATGTTCGACACTTATATTTCCACCTAAGATACTAGTTTTCGACATTTGTCACTAGTTTTTGACGTTTGACACCTTATTTTTGACCAAATATCAAATATCTTTTTTAATTTCGCTTCAAGTCTGCAAAAACCAAATTCATAACATCAAGGATCATCTTAACACAATGATTATCATGCAAATGTAAATTGTATATTGTATTTTGTAAAATCTTGAAAAGGCGATCTAAATCAATAGAAAATCAGGAAAAAATTAGTTTCAAAATTATACAAAACACTACTTTTACGAATTTTACAATGAAACAGGTCATTTACTTGTATAACTTTTAAAATATTGATGTAACCAAAAAAATAGTTATGACAAAAATTATAGAGAATTTAATGATCTACAAGTTTTATTAAAGGAATTTTTATATAAAATATACGTTTCACGTTATATCTTGCAAAATATAAACTTTAATGAAAAAGTTTTTAGCAAATCATTTAGGGAATTGCAATGTTCACAAAAAAGGTTATTATGATATTTATCATAAAACATGTCATTACGAAGATATTTGTTTAAAACAATTATGGATGTTACAATTTTAAGTATAACTCATAAAATATTGATTTTACGAAAAAAATAGTGATTACAAAAATTATAGAGAATTTTATGCTCTACAAGTTTTATTCAAGGTAAATTTATATAGAATTTACGTTTAACGTTATATCTCGAAAAATATTAACTTTAATGAAAAAGTTTTTAACAGAACATGTAGAGAATTTTAATGTCAACAAAAAAGGTTATTACGACTTTTATCATAAAACATGTCATTACAAAGATATTTGTTAAAAACTTTTTTGGACGTTACGATTTTAAGCACTTAAACCTGCATAACTCGTAAAATATTGATGCTATCAAAAAAATTGTAATTACAAAAATATAGAGAATTTCATGCTCTACAATTTTTATCCAAGTTAGTTTTATATAAGATTTACTATTAACGTTATATCTCGGAAAATAATAAATTTAGAAAAAAACTTTTAAACAAAAAATATAGTTAATTTAATTATCTACAAAAAAGTATTTAACCACTTTTGGCCTAAGACGCATAGATCACAAGATATACAAAAATTTAAAAGGCGTGGGTAACAAAAACGACTTATTTATTCTAAAAACTATCATTCCCCAAAAGTTGAACTCTATTATTAAGCATTTTTGACATTTGGCAACAGTTTCTGAAGCATGACAATTCTTTTTTGACGTTTTCACTAATTTTTGACGTTTGTCACTTTCATTTTGACGTTTTATTCTAGTTTTTTGACATTTTAAAAATATTTTTTTTACCTCCAACACTATTTTTTAGTATTTGACACATGTATTTTCACGCTGGGCATTTATTCGTTGACATTTCACATTCGTTTGAAAATACGTTCTTATTTAATAAATATAGACAAAATAAATTAACCTTAAATACAATTTTTTCCTGATTTTCTATGAATTTATTGGATCAATCTAAACACAACTAAAAAGTTAAATCACACATTTCCGGTTAGCAAAAAACAACACAAAAAATAATTACCATTTGTGTGTGTGGCAACTATAGGGGGATTGTCCAAGCTATGATGAACTAAAAATAAAAAGCACAAATAAAGCAAACAAAACAAAAATACAAAAAACACAAAAAATAATAACATAAAATACACAATTTTTGCAAAAACATAAAAAATACAACAGAAAAAGTAGAGAAACTATTATCTAGACTTACTGTAGGTGACTACCAGTCCTGTAAGGATAGAAGGATGCGTGAAAGTGCATTTTAAGGATTTTTTTTAATTGGGTTTATTTTGGTTTTTTCAAGTTGATACAAATAAACATTTGATGTTACTTTTATGTTGACTTTTTTAAATGTTTGTTTTTGATATAACTAGGATTAAATGGGAGAATTTTTTAAGTAAAACCAGCAACGGTTACGTGTAACAACTTGAAGAACATATTTGATAAATTTTACATGCTAGGTGCGTTTTATCGCGATAATTCGACAAGTTTTCAACAATTATTTTAAGGCATTTAGAATGGCCACTTTTTATTTAGTTTTCATTAGAAATAAGAGCTTCAAAATACACATACAAGTACTAATTAAAAAGCCCCCTTGGTGCTAAAACTTTGACGGGCTATAACTTGTAACCCATTAAGGTTACAAAAAAATTAAGAAGTAAAAACTACAGTAAATTTAATGCTTAACAAAATTGATAATAACAAACTTTGACGTAAAATGAAGGGTTTGATAGATATCTTAAAAAAAAAACGTTTTTTTAAATCAAGTCTCCCAAAAAGGGAAAAAATCCATTCTTGCTTTTGAACTATTCGTGTAGTTGCCTTACAAATTAAAAAAGGGTCTTATTATTGGTGTTACAACTTTGACGGGTTGTAACTTGTAACCTATTAAGGCTACAACAAAAATAAGAAGTGAAAAATATAGTAAATTTAATGCCTAACAAGAATGATAATAGCATATTTTGACGTACAATGAATAGTTTAAAAGATATCTTGCAAAACAATTTATTTTAAAAACATTAGTTTCCCAAAACGCGAAAAACAATAATTTTGGATTTTGAACTATTCCTGTAGTTTCCTTACTAATTAAAAATGGGATATTGGTGTTAAAACTTTGAAGGGCTGTAACTTGTAACCTATTAAGGCTACAAAAAAATTAAGAAGTAAAAACTATAGTAAATTTAATGCCTAACAAAATTGATCATAGCATACTTTGACGTAAAATGAAGGGTTTGAAAGATATAGTGAAAAAACATTTTTTTTTAAGAAAAAGTTTCCCGAAAAGGGAAAATATCCATTCTTGCTTTTGAACTATTCCTATAGTCTGTTTACTAATAAAAATGATCTTTTGGTGTTAAAACTTTGAAGGGCTGTAACTTGTAACCTATTAAGGCTACAACAAAAATAAGAAGTGAAAAATATAGTAAATTTAATGCCTAACAAGAATGATAATAGCATATTTTGACGTACAATGAATATTTTAAAAGATATCTTGCAAAACAATTTATTTTAAAAACATTAGTTTCCAAAACGCGAAAAACAATAATTTCGGATTTTGAACTATTCCTGTAGTTTCCTTACTAATTAAAAATGGGCTATTGTTGTTAAAACTTTGAAGGGCTGTAACTTGTAATCTATTAAGGCTACAAAAAAATTAAGAAGTAAAAACTATAGTAAATTTAATGCCTAAGAAGATTGATAATAACATACTTTGACGTAAAATGAAGGGTTTAAAAGATATCTATAAACAACAATTTTTTTTAAACAAAAGTATCCCAAAAAGGAAAAATATCCATTCTTGCTTTCGAACTATTCCCGTAGTTTCCTTACTAATTAAAAAAAGGGGCTTATTATTGGTGTTACAACTTTGACGGGTTGTAACTTGTAACCAATAAAGGCTACAACAAAAATAAGAAGTAAAAATTATAGTAAATTTAATGCCTAACAAAATTGATAATAACATACTTTGACGTACAATGAATAGTTTAAAAGATATCTTTAAAAAACATTTTTTTTTTAAACAAAAGTATCCCAAAAAGGAAAAATATCCATTCTTGCTTTTGAACTATTCCTGTAGTTTCCTTACTAATTAAAAAAAGGGGCTTATTATTGATGTTGCAACTTTGACGGGTTGTAACTTGTAACCAATTAAGGCTACAACAAAAATAAGAAGTAAAAATTATAGTAAATTTAATGCCTAACAAAATTGATAACATACTTTGACGTACAATGAATAGTTTAAAAGATATCTTTAAAAAACAATTTTTTTTAAACAAAAGTATCCCAAAAAGGAAAAATATCCATTCTTGCTTTTGAACTATTCCTGTAGTTTCCTTACTAATTAAAAAAGGCCTATAGGTGTTACAACTTTGACGGGTTGTAACTTGTAACCAATTAAGGCTACAACAAAAATAAGAAGTAAAAATTATAGTAAATTTAATGCCTAACAAAATTGATAATAACATACTTTGACGTACAATGAATAGTTTAAAAGATATCTTTAAAAAACAATTTTTTTTAAACAAAAGCATCCCAAAAAGGAAACATATCCATTCTTGCTTTTGAACTATTCCTGTAGTTTCCTTACTAATTAAAAAAAGGGGCTTATTATTGATGTTACAACTTTGACGGGTTGTAACTTGTAACCAATTAAGGCTACAACAAAAATAAGAAGTAAAAATTATAGTAAATTTAATGCCTAACAAAATTGATAATAATATACTTTGACGTACAATGAATAGTTTAAAAGATATCTTTAAAAACAATTTTTTTTAAACAAAAGTATCCCAAAAAGGGAAAATATCCATTCTTGCTTTTGAACTATTCCTATAGTCTGCTTACTAATAAAAAGGGCCTTTTGTGTTAAAACTTTGACGGGCTATAACTTGTAACCTATTAAGGCTACACAAAAATTAAAAAGTCAAAACTATAGTAAAGTTAATGCCCAACAAAATTGATAATAGCATACTTTGACGTAAAATTAAGGGTTCAAAAGATATCATAAGAAATAGTTTCCCAAAAACGAAAAAAACAATAATTTTTAACCATTCCTGCAATAAAACGCACCTAACGTGTTTCGTTGTGCCGTCTATCTTGCAAATTCTAACACACTTTGCTCTAGACGTCACTATGTGCTCTATTAAACTCTATTTTTTTTGTTTATTTTCCAGCGTGCATGGTCTACTCTAGAAATCGTTCTATTTGTAAATGCTGGGGGGTATTCAGAACAGACTAATTTGTTAAGTTTAAAGCCCACCAGGTCATAAGGAACAGGAAAATAAAGGTGGGTTAAGATTATATTAGGTTAGAGTATAAAAGGAATGGCTATACAGAAATAATGTCATACTAGATGAATAGAAAATGGTAGGAGACAAATATGAGAAGACAGAAAGCTCCCATCCTGGGGTCGAGCTCAAGCTATCAGGCAGAATAGAGGCCCATAGAGTATTTTTAATATGTGGTCTTTACACTGTAAGGGGAGGTGTTCATAACAAGAAATTTCAACACAAAAAAGGTATTGTTAGGTACAAGAAATAATTTGTTTTAACGCGTGAACCTCAAGACACATTTTTCTATGGCTGGTGAGCTTTTAAAATTGCTGAAAACTATGTGAAAATTGTTAAACACAATATCCAAATTAAGTTAGTAATTTCCCTTTTTTAAATTAAAAATACCCAAGCGACTTAAGACTAGACGAATAAATTTGGATTAATAAAATTGTTCTGATTTTTTGTTAATGTTTGGTCATCATTTTTTGATAACTGTAGAGTTATTTTTATGAACTATAAATTCAAAATGTCTGAAAAATGCTTTAAAATTTAACCAAAAAAGAAATAATTGCAATTTTTTTTCCAGTAATTTTCACTTTATTCTTAAATAAAAAAAAGAAAAATTGAAAAAATCTACATGCATCTTCTTTAACCAGTACACGTAGATCCCTCTCAATTTTTTCTATAGACACTTACATAATTATTACTACTAATTATTGGTAAGTATTTTAAAATATGGCTAAGCTTACCTTCTCCGTTACGATATTCCAACGTATCGCAATCGCTGGGTTGTTTTTTGTTACATTCATCGTTAGATCTTGATCTGATAAAGACGACGGTTAATACGATGATGGCAACCAAAATTACGACGACTGCAACGATTCCTCCAGCCACCAGTTGCAGTCTGAAGCCTTCTTCTTCTCCTATGTAAGCTGTAAGAAAAATAAATATGAACTCTCCAGGAAAATGTAGGGAATTTAAATGTCAACAAAAAAGGTTATTATGATTTTTATCATAAAACGTGTCGTTAAGAAGATATTTGTTAAAAACGTTTTTGGATGTTACGATTTTAAGCATTTAAACCTGTATAACTCGTAAAATATTGAGGTTATCAAAAAAATAGTTATTACAAAAATTATAGAGGATTTTATGCTCTACAAGTTTTATTAAAGGCATTTTTAAATAACATTTACGTTTAACGTTATATTTCGAAAAATATTAACTTTCATGAAAAAGTTCTTAGCAGATTATGTAGAGAATTTCAATGTCCACAAAAAAGGTAATGACGACTTTTATCATGAAACAAGTCATTACAAAGATATTTATAAAAAATATTTTTGGACGTTATGATTTTAAGCAGTGCTCCGCAACCGGTGTGCCGCGGCACACTGGTGTGCCGTAAGCCGACTTGAGGTGTGCCGCTCTTGCAGACAATACGAATCAGATTCGTATTGTAGCGAGACCCGCGAAAAATAAAGCAATCTGACAACAACGCCGATGGTAAACGTCTATCCGTCTATCGGCGCGGCGGCTTGATTCTCGAAGGCGACTAAACTAGAAAGATCCGTGCCGTTCGAGGCGCGACTCGATGTTTTCCTGAACATCGCCACTGCCTATATAAGAGCGCCTGTCGTCGCTCAGAGACTCAGAGAGAGTCGAATAGTCAAGTGAATCAGATAAATACGCGGGCAAACAAATAAATCGTAGAGTGAAATAAATAGTGAATTGCTATATAAATAAATTCTTGTGCCTTATAAATAAGTGAACTGGACTAAGTTTTGTTGCAGTATCTACTTTTATAAATAACTATAGTGCTTCAAATATGGATAAATTTTTGCTGAAATCACGAGCAGATGACGAAGAACCTAGCACAAGCTCCAGCATAAGTGCTGCAAAAAGAGCAAAAAAGGTGCTGAAAAGGAAGTACAATCAAGACTACCTTCGATATGGTTTCACTTGGTGTGGCGACGAAGCGGCTCCAAAGCCTGAATGCGTCATTTGCGGTGAACAGTTGTCAAATGAAGCAATGGTACCCAGCAAACTAAACCGTCATTTGATCACAAATCATCCCAGTTGCGTCAAAAAAGACATTCAATTTTTCCAACGGCGCTTGGATCAAAATAAGAAACAAAAGCAGTTTATGAAATCGGCGGTTACGGTTTCTGAAAAGGCATTAGAAGCAAGCTACCTTGTTGCAAAATTAATTGCACAACAAAAAAAACCGCACACTATCGGTGAAACGCTTATTAAACCAGCATGCATGGAAATTGTTAGACTTATGCTTGGGCCAAACGAAGTTAAGGACGTGAGTAAAGTTTCTTTGTCGGCCGATACTGTTAAAAGACGTATCCAAGATATGTCAAGTGATATTTTGGGAACACTAATTAAAAAAATCATTTCGGCTGGAATTTTTGCGCTTCAAATCGACGAATCAACCGATATTAAAAATAAAGCACAACTGATGGCTATTGTACGTTTCGTTGACGAGGACTCTATTAAAGAACATTATTTATTTTGTAAGGAGGTTCCAGAGAGAACTACCGGTGAACAAATTTTCCAAGTAACTGATAATTTTTTTAAAATACATAATATTCAGTGGACCAATTGCGTTGCTATTTGTACAGATGGTGCTGCTGCAATGATGGGCAGTAAGAAAGGTTTTGTATCTTGTGTAAAACAAAAAAATCCGTCAATACAAATTACACATTGCTGCATACATCGAGAAGCATTGATGGTCAAAAATTTGCCCGAACAGCTTTCGATCACAATGAATGAATGTATTAAGATCATAAACATAATTAAATCGAGAGCCTTAAATTCGCGAATCTTTGGAATACTCTGTGAAGAAATGGGAAGCGAACATGAATCCTTACTGTTTTATACAGAAGTTCGTTGGTTATCCCGGGGAAAAGTTTTAGCTCGACTGTTTGAACTTCGCTACGAAGTGCGTGAGTTTCTTTCAAGTCAAGATATGTACGATTTATGCCAGCACCTTCATGATGAATACTGGATAGCCAAACTTGCATACATGGCGGTTATATTCGAACATCTGAATGAACTTAATAAAAAAATGCAAGGACGGAATGAAAATATATTGACGTGCTCCGATAAATTACAAGGGTTCAAAAAGAAACTTGAACTTTGGCAGGAACAGTTGCAAAAAGGATGTCTAGAAATGTATCACAGGACCAACCACAGTACGATCGAAAACAAGCAGTTGATTGTGGATTTGGCCCAACAACATTTAAGTATGCTTCAACAAAAATTTGAATACTATTTCCATTCTATCAACACGGAACAATACAATTGGATTCGAAATCCTTTCGCAACCAATGCAATAAGTTCCACGGAAGCACTGCCATTGCAAACTCGAGAGGAGTTCACAGAATTAAGTAATGATATGACCCTAAAACTTAAATTCGACGAAGTTCCGTTAGATGTTTTCTGGATTTCCATCAAGACAGAATATCCACGCATCACCGACAAGGCCATCTTCACACTACTTCCGTTTTCCACAACATATTTATGTGAGCAAAGTTTTTCAACGCTTGTATTAATTAAAAATGATAAACGGTCATGCTTAAAAGATCTTGACCAAGAAATGAGAGTTGCGCTGTCTAAAATTGAGCCGAATATAAAACTTTTGTGTTCAACGAAGCAAGCGCAGGTATCACATTAATCAGTCATCATCATGTCAAAATATTTATTACTATTGACGTGTCAACAGAAGTAAATTTAGTATACCTACCTGTCCTACCTAGTATTTAGTATAGTTCTCATGTATGTACCTATTTGTATTTTTCATTCTATCTGAATAATAAAAAAAAATAAAAAAAAATATGTATTATGTCCTGAGTGAAAATTTTGATGCCCCAAATCTGAAAGCGGCTTCTTCACATTTTAAAACAATAAAAAAAACTAAGGTAGTTTGGACATCCATAAATAATTAGTATACATGGAGTGAACTGACCCCCGACCTAGCTACGCCACTGCTATAAATATATTTTAGATTTTGGTGTGCCACGAAATTCTAGGGAGCAGTTTGGTGTGCCTCAGATGAGGAAAGGTTGCGGAGCACTGATTTTAAGCACTTAAACCTACATAACTCGTAAAATACTGATGCTACGAAAAAAATTGTAATTACAAAAATATAGAGAATTTCATGCTCTACAAGTTTTATCCAAGGTATTTTTATATAAAATTTACGTTTAACGTTATATCTCAAAAAATATCAACTTTCATGAAAAAGTTCTTAGCAAGACATGTAGAGAATTGTAATGTCCACAAAAAAGGTTATTATGACTTTTATCATAAAACATGTAATTACGAAGATATTTGTTAAAAATGCTTTTGGGATGTTACGATTTTAAGCATTTAAACGTGTATAACTCGTAAAATATTGATGCTATCAAAAAATTTGTTATTACAAAAATTTTTGGGAATTTTATGCTTTATAAGTTTTATTAAAGATATTTCTTTATATTATTTAAGATTAACGCTATATCTCGAAAAATATTAAGTTACTAGAGAAAAATTTGGCAAAAAATGTAGAGAATTTTAATGTTAACAAAAAATGTTATTATGATTTTTATCATAAAACGTATCGTTAGGAAGATATTTGTTGAAAACGTTTTTGGATGTTACGATTTTGAGCATTTAAACCTTTATAACTCGTAAACTATTGATGTGATCAAAAAATAGTCATTACAAAAATTATAGAGAAATTTATGCTCTACAAGTTTTATCAAAGATATTTTTATATATTATTTACAGTTAACGCTTTATCTCGGAAAATATTGCGTTATCAGACAAAATTTGTAGCAAAAAATGTAGAGAATTTTAATGTCAACAAAAAACGTTATTATGATTTTTATCATAAAACGTGTCGTTAAGAAGATATTTGTTAAAAACGTTTTTTGATGTTACGATTTTACGGATTTAAACCTGTACAACTCGTAAAATATTGATGTTATCAAAAAAAATAGTTATTACAAAAATTATAGAGGATTTTATGCTCTACAAGTTTTATGAAAGATATTTTTATACATTATTTACAATTAACGCTTTAATTCGGAAAATATTAAATAATCAGTAAAAATTTGTAGCAAAAAATGTAGAGAATTGTAATGTCAACAAAAAACGTTATTATGATTTTTATCATAAAACGTGTCGTTAGGAAGATATTTGTTAAAAACGTTTTTGGATGTTACGATTTTAAGCATTTAAACCTGTATAACTCGTAAAATATTGAGGTTATCAAAAAAAATAGTTATTACAAAAATTATAGAGGATTTTATGCTCTACAAGTTTTATTAAAATTATTTTTAAATAACATTTACGTTTAACGTTATATTTCGAAAAATATTAACTTTCATGAAAAAGTTCTTAGCAGATTATGTAGAGAATTTCAATGTCCACAAAAAAGGTAATGACTACTTTTATCATGAAACAAGTCATTACAAAGATATTTATAAAAAATATTTTTGGACGTTATGATTTTAAGCACTCAAACCTGCATAACTCGTAAAATACTGATGCTACGAAAAAATTATAATTACAAAAATATAGAGAATTTTAAGCTCTACAAGTTTTATCAAAGATATTTTTATATAGAATTTACGTTTAACGTTATATCTTGCAAAATATTAACTTTCATGAAAAAGTTCTTAGCAGAACATGTAGAGAATTTCAATGTCAACAAAAAACGTTATTATGATTTTTATCATAAAACGTGTCATTAAGAAGATATTTGTTAAAAACGTTTTTGGATGTTACGATTTTGAGCATGATAAACATTTATAACTCTTAAACTATTGATGTTATCAAAAAATAGTCATTACAAAAATTATAAAGGATTTTATGATCTACAAGTTTTATCAAAGATATTTTTATATATTATTTAGTTAATTCTTTATCTCGGAAAATATTGCATTATCAGAAAAAATTTGTAGCAAAAAATGTAGACAATTTTAATGTCAACAAAAAATGTTATTGTGATTTTTATCATTAAACGTGTCGTTAGGACGATATTTGTTAAAAACGTTTTTGGATGTTACGATTTTAAGGATTTAAACATTTATACCTAGTAAAATATTGATGTTATCAAAAAAAATAGGTATTACAAAAATTATAGAGGATTTTATGTTCTACAAGTTTTATCAAAGATATTTTTATATATTATTTACAGTTAACGCTTTATCTCGGAAAATATTAAGTTATCAAAAAAAATTTGTAGCAAAAAATGTTAAGAATTTTAATGTCAACAGAAAACGTTATTATGATTTTTATCATAAAACGTGTCGTTAGTAAGATATTTCTTAAAAACGATTTGGATATTACGATTTTAAGCATTTAAACTTGTATAACTCGCAAAATATTGATGTTATCAAAAAAATAGTTATCACAAAACTTATAGAGAATTTTATGCTCTACAAGTTTTAACAAAGGTATTTTTATATAGAATTTATGTTTAACGTTATATCTCGAAAAATATTAACTTTCATGAAAAAGTTCTTAGCAGAACATGTAGAGAATTTCAATGTCCACAAAAATGGTTATGATGACTTTTATCATTAAACATGTCATTACGAAGATATTTGTTAAAAACATTTTTGAATGTTACGATTTTAAACATTTAAAACTGCATAACTCGTAAAATATTGATCCTACGAAAAAAAAATTATAATTACAAAAATATAGAGAATTTCAAGCGCTACAAGTTTTATCAAATATATTTTTATATAGAATTTACGTTTAACGTTATATCTTGCAACAAAATATTAACTTTCATGAAAAAGTTCTTAGCAGAACATGTAGAGAATTTCAATGTCAACAAAAAACGTTATTATGATTTTTATCATAAAACGTGTCATTAAGAAGATATTTGTTAAAAACGTTTTTGGATGTTACGATTTTGAGCATTTAAACCTTTATAACTCGTAAACTATTGATGTGATCAAAAAATAGTCATAACAAAAATTATAGAGAATTTTATGCTCTACAAGTTTTATCAAAGATAATTTTATATATTATTTACAGTTAACGCTATATCTCGGAAAATATTAACTTACTAAAAAAAATATTTTCCAAAAAATGTAGAAAATTTAAATGTCAACAAGAAAGGTTATTACGTTTTTTATCATAAAACTTGTCATTAAGAAGATATTTGTTGAAAACGTTTTTGGATGTTACGATTTTAAGCATTTAAACCTGTATAACTCGTAAAATATTGATGTTATCAAAAAAATACTTATTACAAAAATTATAGAGGATTTTATGCTCTACAAATTTTATCAAAGGTATTTTTGTATATGATTGATAATTAACGTTATATCTCGAAAAATATTAATTTTAGAAAAAAAAGCTTCAAATAAAAAAGATAGTAAATTCAATAATCTACAAAAAAGTATTTAACCATTTTTACCGTAGAACGTATAGATCACGAGATATAGAAACATTTATAAGGTGTATTTTTTTTACCTGGATGTAGCATTTGTCCGGTCGTTTTGAATATAACAGGCGAATACGCCCCCCAACCTCTTTGCGTTTTGGCTCTAACTTGCAATCCATATTCAGTCCTTTGTTGCAAACCCGTAACCGTAGCTGACAAATCAGACGTAAGCAAACTGTTGTTGCTGTAATCTATGTCGTTTCTTTGAAACCATCGTACCTAAAAACAACGAATTTATAAACATTTCCTACAACCAATCCGGTATAACCTTTACCTCATAAGCTTCAACTAAATCGTTTTCTATTTCAGACCCGTCATTTGTACTAGGCGCATCCCAAGCCAAGTTGATCTCCGTACTTTTAACGGAAGTTACCCTAATGTTGGTAATGCTGCTTGCAACCGAAGCTTCGGTTGTGACTACGATATCGGCGTATTCCGGAGCGTCTCTATGACCGGCGTGCGAAACTCCGTTTTCGGCGAAGATCTGAAATCTGTAGGTCGTAACCGCGTTCAAACCGCTTATGGTTATCCGAGTATCGTTAAAGGTTTCCTATGGGAAAAGAAATATCAACTGTTACAAAAAAAATATCAACAAATACACTAATTTAATAATATCAACAGGTTTGGTCACACCAAGTGTCAAGAAACATTGAGAGGAAGTGTCCAAGGTAATTATTGGATGCAAACATTCATGAATCCTAATAATTGGAGGAAATTTCTTGTAAATTTTCTCCAATTGCCTGTTCTCCCTAACATTTATCATATTAGTTACAATGAGGTTCCGTTGAGGTAGCCTCTTCAAGCCATATTTGGACATATTCCTCCTCCATTTATGTATCTGTTATCAAATTAATTTATCTTAGACTAATGTCCCTTTTTAATAATCTTCTTTACGACCCTCTTCTTTTAATTTTACTTTACCTAGATCTCCAATGCATTGGAGAAAAGTTTGAGGCAAATATTGTCTATATATACAGCCTCTTCAGTCCATATTTGGACATATTCCTTCTCCATTTATATATCTGTGATCAAAAGACCAGCTTGCCTTTTTAATCATTTCCACACCTAAATTAAGGACCATCTTCTTCTCCTTTTATTTTACCTAGATCTCCAGTGCATTGAAGAATAGTGTCGAAGCAAAGATTGTCTGTCTATACAGCCTCTTCAATCCATATTTGGACTTATTCCTTCTCCATTTATGTATCTGTGACCAAGTTAATCTATTATAGATCAGTTTGTCTTTTTAATCATTTCCACACCTAAATTAAGGACCATCTTCTTTCCCTTTTATTTTACCTAGATCTCCAGTGCATTGGAGAAAGTGTTGAGGCAAAGATTGTCTATCTATACAGCCTCTTCAATCCATATTTGGACATATTCCTTCTCTATTTATGTATCTGTGACCAAGTTAATCTATTTTAGACCAGCTTGTCTTTTCAATCATTTCCACACCTCAATTAAGTACCCTCTTCTTCCCCTTTCACTTTACTTAGATCTATACAGCCTCTTTAGACCATATTTGGACATATTCCTTCTCCATTTATGTATCTGTGACCAAGTTATTCTTTTAGACCAGCTTGTCTTTTTAATAATTTCCACACCTAAATTAATGACCCTCTTCACTTTACCTAAATCTCCAGTGCATTGGAGAAAAATGTTGAGGCAAAGATTGTATATCTATACAGCCTCTTCAGTCCATATTTGGACATAGTCCTCCTCCACTTATGTATTTGTGGCCAAGTTCATTAATCTTGGACCAGCGTATTTTTTTGGATAATCTGCCAAACTAAATTAGAAATCATCTTCTTCATTAACTGATTAATAAATAGTTAATTGTTTTAGATAGCCTTGGAATAAAGTGTTGAGGCAAATATGCAACCTCTTTAGTCCATATTTGGACATATTCCTTCTTTAATTATGTGTATATGACCAAGTTCATTCATCTTTTACCAGCGTGCCTTTTCGAATCATCTCCTTCTCTAAATTAGAGAACCTCTCTTCTCATTTTATTGTACCAAGATCTCCTTAAGTGACTAACGTATAACTGTTGTTATAAGTTGTTGTAAGGGTGGACCTAAAAGATTTATTATGTCACCTTTTCTCACCAAGGTGGTAAGAAAATAATGTCGCCGTTTATAATGCTTCTCCCAATTCTATCTTCCCAAGGAAGGAGTTTAGAATTTGGAGTAGCTCAAAGCTGGGCTGATCTATTCTAACTGCTATGCTTCCAAGCATTCGGATTTTGTAGTACCACACAATACGTTAGAATGTGAATGGAGGTTTCGCCGTATCCTATCGTTTTATATTATTTGTTAAAAAGGTTGGATGTTACGATTTTAAGCACTTAAACCTGCATAATTCGTAAAATATTGATGATAAGAAAAAAAATGTAATTACAAAAATATAGAGAATTTCAAGCTCTACAACTTTTATCAAAGGTGCTTTTATATAGAATTTACGTTTAACGTTATATCTCGAAAAATATTAACTTTCATGAAAAAGTTCTTGGCAGAACATGTAGAGAATTTCAATGCCTACAAAAAAGGTTATGACGATTTTTATCATAAAACATGTCATTACAAAGATATTTGTACAAAAACATTTTTTGGACGTTACGATTTTAAGCACTTAAACCTGCATAACTCGTAAAATATTGATGGTACGAAAAAAATTGTAATTACAAAAATATAGAGAATTTCATTCTCTACAAGTTTTATCACAGGTAATTTTATGTATGTTTATAGTTAATGTAATATCTCGGAAAATATTAATTTTACAAAGAAAGTTTTTGACGAAACCTGTAGGGGATTTTAATGTCTACAAAAAAGGTTATTACGACTTTTATCATAAAACATGTTAGTATGAAGATATTTGGTAAAAACGTTTTTGATATTACGATTTTATGCACTTAAACCTGTGTAACTCATAAAATATTGATGCTATCAAAAAATAGTAATTACAAAAATTATAGAGAATTTCATTCTCTACAAGTTTTATCACAGGTAATTTTATGTATGTTTATAGTTAATGTAATATCTCGGAAAATATTAATTTTACAAAGAAAGTTTTTGACAAAACCTGTAGGGGATTTTAATGTCTACAAAAAAGGTTATTACGACTTTTATCATAAAACATGTTAGTATGAAGATATTTGTTAAAAACGTTTTTGATATTACGATTTTATGCACTTAAACCTGTGTAACTCATAAAATATTGATGCTATCAAAAAATAGTAATTACAAAAATTATAGAGAATTTCATTCTCTACAAGTTTTATCACAGGTAATTTTATGTATGATTTACGTTTAACGTTATATCTCGAAAAGTAATAACTTTACAAAAAAAGTGTTTGGCGAAACATGTAGAGAATTTCAATCTCTACAAAAAACATTAAACGGAATTTTAACATAAAACATGTCATTAAGAAGATATCGCCATCTTTGAAAACATGACTTTAGAGAATCACAAAAAAGCTTTGAAAATTATTATTATTATCGCATTTAATTGATTTTAATTTCCTGTTTATTAGAGATAATAAATTTGATATATTTTTTTAATTATATACTTGATAAAAAACAGGTTACAACTGGATTATTCCAATTTAAATCACTATAGTTCTAACAAAATTAGAAATTGACTGCCCCAAAAAATCATGACATTATTTGACCTATATCAAAATGAGCCATTATTTTACTAAATTAATATTTTGTTCTTTAATCATGCGGTTTTAGTCATAAAGTGACCGAAGTCTAAATACGCCCGTATTTCACCGTACTAACCCCGCTAGACATTGAGACATTTCCTTGCTGCAATAGCGACAGAAGGGGACACAATAGATCTTTTAGATCGCAGTGTATTAACTCTAAATCGGTCGTTGTTTCACTGTACCTAGGGCTAAAATCGACAAGAGTGAAAGAGACCGAAAAAACGGATTCTTACGTTTCCACAACAGATCGATAGAGGGCGTTATAACGATTTGTTATATTACTAACTTAAATCAAGATAAGTCACTCTATTTCTAAGGGATAAAAATCGCAATAGTAAAAACAGACAACTCAAAAAATATTCTCACCGAATTAGGATTATATTGAACCAATCCCGGACTACAAGCGTCGCACTTTATCCTATAAACAGTATCCGATCTCCCACCAAGATTATCAGGAGGTAACCAACTTAAAATAACAGTAAGTTGGTCCACGAAAGTGACTGTTAAGTTTTGTGGTGCTGATGGAGGTTCTAAAAAATAAAATTATATTAATATTAATAAATTATTGTGTCCAAAACATTCGATTCACTTACGTGTACAAGACATGTTTCTAGGATCTGTAGGTGACCTATAATATCCAGGAATGCATCTACATTCTGTTAAACCGTAATCTGGTCCTTGAGAGAATGGAGGACATGGAAGACATGGACCATCACCTGTTTCGGCTTTATACGTTTCTTGTTGACATACTGAAAATAGTAATAAAACAAACATAAACGTATTGCTTCAACTGTAACCTATTTAAAGACTCACCGTTGCAAGTTTGTTTCTCCAAATCCGGTTGGAAACCAGCCTTGCACTTGCAGCTTCCAGTTGGCAGTGTCCATTTACCGTCACCTTGGCAGAGATAAGTTGGAGTACCACCTACAGCTTCTGCATTGCTAACGCAAGTACCCGATGATTGTTCGATGGTAGTAATTCCTTTGCCAGTTGGCGTCGTTGGAAATCTAACAAAGTTTATTGTCACTTCTGGACAGACTATGTAGTAAATCTGAAAAAAAAAATTACATTATGGTTGAACAATAAATATACTCCTAAGATAAGGACTTACTTTTATTGCTAAAAGAGATATACAAGCTCCCTGGTCTCTAAAAGCGAAGTACACTCCCTTTTTGGTGACAGGAATGCTTTTGACTTCTGTGTTGATGTTGACTTCGCTGTTGGAGTTGAATCGTCCTTCACCAGCGGCTATGCGACCTGGAAATAATAAAATATATTAAGTGCTAAATATAGATAAAAAAAAGTTTGGAGAAATCTGAAAGTAGAGGTAATTATGCTGTGAAAGTTACTGGATGTCAACGAAGAAAACAATTTTCTAGTGGACCTGTAAATATTCTTTTATTGAGAGTATTCTGGAAAAGATGTTATGAATAATAAAAGGACTATGTAGAAGATAATCGTTTAAAGATTTGTCTAGAGGTAGATGTTAGATACTTTAGTATTGGTATCTATATATTAGGAAAGTTATTTATAAATAAAATTTAATTTTTCTTACAGATTTTTAGGATTTGTTTTAAAAGTTTAATGTTTATATAAGTATAAATAGCTGATACTATCAACTATTGTAAATTAATTTACAAATCGTTTATTTTTTAAAAGAATTGGAATGCCTACGATCGGTATTGTTACATACATTTTCTAATAGTTTAATTTCATCACTATTATCTCTAAAGAATGGGAAAGAAACGAGAAATCATCTATAAATAAGAATAATTGTATTTATTCATTCATATTCCATCAATATAATTTATGCATATTGTTATAATAACTGTAAGCCCACTCGTTTTTAGCTCTAATTCTTTTAAGTGATCTATCTAGAATAAACATACAAACTTTAAGTGGGTCGTATAAATACAGATAAATCATCATTAGGTTTCAAGTTCAACGGTCAGTTCTTTCAAATTTATTAGTATTTACCCGTTTGGCACGATGCCAGCCTAGTTTTTAATAGTCCAGAAGCTTGGAATGCTATAGGTATATCAAACGAGTCAATTTTTATTTATAAGTGGACTATAGTCTATTTTTATGTATGAGAGAGTAATAAAACAGCATTTATAATGCAAAAATTAGTACGGTCATTTTAAATATTTTTACAGAATAATCTAAATATTTCCTAAAATTGTAATAAATGTACCTGAGCTATTACAAGTTTTGGGTCTTTTATTGGTCCTTTATAAACATAAGCTGTACAGAACAATAGAAAAAGGTTTGGACAGGCCAAAAGCCCTGTGTATTAAAGATTACATAGCCGTATCTTAAGATTATTTTCAATAAGTACCTATTTGCCAATTTTGTTTTATTTTAATTCCAAGAATGTATTACAGTAATCGAATTATAAGTAGATAAATACCTTCCCAACAAATTTCACCGAAAATGGTTTTCCATTTAGTAAGGAGGTCCAAGTTGTGTATTCTTGACAGTTTACTAAATGTCGTTTAGTTGCAACTTGCAAGGTGCAGTGTGAATTCTAGTGTGATCATGGACAATTTGGAAGGGCCGCGTAAACGACAATAAATCGGTTCTTTAACAGTTAATGAAAAAACTTTAATATTTAATTGTTTTAAATTATTTACAGGCAAACATTTATGTAAAAGTGTTGATGACACAGTGGAATTAGTTAGTAGTACGCTTGGTGTTGGGAAATCTACGATTTACAGAGTTGTTAAAGAAGAGAAATGTGGCGAGTTTCAAACAGCACGTAAAGCTCCAGGAAAACCAAAATTTCAATTAGAAAATCTTTTGAAAAAAAGATTTTGAAGGAAAGTGCATGCGTTCTTCTTTAGAAAAGAATTTCCGACAGTAGACAAAGTTCTTGCCACGGTTCGAGATGATAAGGATTACCCTAAAATGAGTCGAAGCACACTATGGAAACTTTTAAAAGAAATAGGGTTTCTATGGAAAAAGCATTCCGAAGAGTCTATTTTAATAGAAAGAAGCGATATTGTAGTGTGGAGAAAAAATTACCTAAGGACTATAAAAGAAATGAGAAACCAAAGAAGAAATATATTTTATTTAGATGAAACATGGATCAACGAGGGACATAAACCAAATAAATTTTGGCAAGATGAAACTGTTACAAGTCGAAGACAGGCTCTTTTAAATAATTTATCTACTGATTTAAATCCACCATCAGGAAAGAGGCGCAGACTAATAATAGTACACATCGGTAGTTCAAACGGTTTTGTTAAAGGTGGTTTATTCACTTTTGAATCTACTCGTACCGGTGACTACCTTGAGGACATGAATGGTGATTGATGTCTTTAAAGAGTGGTTCGAACAAATTATAGATCTTCTGCCTTAGAACTGTATAATAGTAATGAATAATGCAAGTTATCACTCGAGACTTATAGAAAAAATGCCCACAACCAAGTGGTTAAAAAAAGATTTACAGAATTGGCTAAATTCAAAGAATATTAAGTTCCATCCCGGTTCTGTGAGAAAAGAACTGTATCATTTGTGTTCCCTTCATAAAGAGAAATTCAAAAAATATGAAATTGATGAAATTGCAAAAAATCGTGGGATGACGGCGGTTAGATCACCACCATATCATTGATATGGTCACAGATAAAGGGAGAAGTTTCAAGAAAAATAATTCTTTTAAAATGAGTGATGTTAAACAGTTGTTTTTGAAAGCTGTAAATAATGTGAAGCCTGAAAACTGGGAAAAGGCAGTAAATCATACGATTAAAGAAGAAGAGAAAATGTGGAAGTTGGACAATATTACTGATGAAATGATCGAGCCACTCATTGTAAATAATGGTTGCGACAGTTCATCTTCTGATTTCGATTCTGATTTGGATTTGTAGGTAAGAAGTAGTTTTTATATTAAAATTATTATTTATGAACGTAACGTTGTTTAAAAGTCAAAGTTTAAACCTTTATACCTAGATAATCCGTTTGACACAATGTTCTTAACATACCTTGTGGAAAAATAAAAACATTTTAGAAAAAATTGCACGTTTTTACCTTCAGCAGTTTAGAAGTTATAAGCAGGTTAATTAGGTGAAAATATGAGTGTATACTCGAGGAATAACTTCAAAAAATATTTTAACTGTCTACTAAAAGAAAAGTGGTACGCCTATGGATTACGAACGCTTTATTATTTTAATACTCTCTCATACATAAAAATAGACTATAGTGTAAGAATAAAATAAATTTTTGAAAAAATAAACATTAATTAATAAATCTGGAATATTTTATATTGAATAATAATAATTTTATTCAATTAATCAAAATTAATTACATTAATGAAATACACTTTGTTATTGAATAAAGGTACTCGATAAGTGGTTGCCCACTTGTTTCGAGAAAAATAATTAAGAAAAAAGAAATAAAACTTACAATAATAAGCTACGATATCCTAACTGCAAAAGACATAGTTCTTAAATAAATAGAAAATATTATACATAAATAGCAGATAGAAATAAAAATGAAGGAAGGGATAAATATAAGGTGATACGTCGAATACAATAAAAAAAAAAACTATAGCAAATTTAAGGTGAGTACTTTTGATAGTTTTGATTCTATAAGTTCATTAATTTGTTTCTTAGGAATTTCATGCATCAGTTTTTTAACTTCTTTTTTATATTTTATTTTATTACTAATTATTTTTATTCTTTCAGGAAATTGATTATAAATTTTGGGTGCTAGATAAGCAAAGGATCTCTGACTTAAAGATTTACTTAATTGTGGAAGAACATGTAAATTTTTATTACGTGTATTGTAATCGTGGTTAGGTACATTATTGTTTTTACAGTTGAAGTGAAATTTTTGAGCTACACAATAGAAATACAACTGCCTTAGATCCAATATTTTACTTTCTGAAAATAAAAGGTCACTGGGATACAGTCTTTCCCGAGAAAAAATTACTTTCAAAAATCTTTTTTGTAATATTTCAAGTGACTGTATATGGCACCTTAAAGCATTTCCCCAAACTATAATACCATACCTAAAATGACTTTCTGCGAGAGCATAGTAGAGTGTTATTAGCTGCTTTTCTGGAAGGTATTTTTTTAAATATTTGAATTTGTACAGAATGCTTTGAAGTTTTTTAATAGTATAGTTGATATGGAATTCCCATTTCAAATGACTATCTACATATATTCCAAGATATTTAATTTCGGATACCTGCTGAAGCACATAGGGGTGTCCATTAAATTGTACATTAAGTTCATTAAATGGAGGAAGACCTCTAATGTTGCAGCTAAATGGTAAGTATTTAGTTTTTTCTAGATTTAAAGTGAGAGACATGTTATCAAACCAACCTTTTATTTTAATGAAATCTTTTTCTACTATATTTTTAAGTTCATTCCAATTTTCAGCATCATAAAAAATTGCAGTATCATCTGCAAAACCTAAAACACTACCTCTGCTCTCGATGGAAAACAGACCATTGATGTATATATTGAACAGTATGGGTCCTAAGACACTGCCTTGAGGTACTCCGTACTCAATTATCTGTCGACTACTAGTTTCCCCATTTACTCTTACAGTCTGGTATCTATTGGTTAGGTAGCTTTTAAATAAAGATAAACAGTTTCCTCTTATTCCTATGTCTTCTAGACATTGTATGAGCAAGTGGTGATCAACGGTATCAAACGCCTTACTAAGATCTAGAAATAGACATAAACATGGTTGATTTTGCTCCAGACTTTGATGTATTTGAGTTATCAAAGCTAATAAGGCATCATCTGTAGATTTTTCTTCTTTGAAACCAAACTGCATCGGTGATAAAATTTCGTATTTGTTTAAAAAAGAATTAAGTCTATTTTTTATTAGCGACTCAAAAATTTGTGAGTCAATAGGGAAATTGGTCTGTAATTACTACATATAGCAGTATCACCTTTCTTAAAGATAGGTACTACGATAGAGGTTTTGAAGGCTGTTGGAAAAATAGCTTGTTTAATGCAATTATTTAGTATATATGTTAACGGATTTCCTATATAAGATGCCACAACTTTTAAAACTTCTGCACAAATATCATCACAACCCGGCGACTTCTTATTTTTTAAGCCTTTGATCAGATTTAAAACTTCAATTTCATTTGTTTCTAGGAACACCATTGAATTATTTTGTGTAGTTTTAGTAAACTTATGAGAATTATCATTTACAATTTTGTTTGCCAAATTCTTTCCCACTTTATCAAACTGTACATTAAATTCATTGCAGATGTCGTTAGCATTTAATAACATTTCATC